AAGTATGTATGTGGAGGCAGGGCACACACTCTTCTTATATACAGGGGGGAATATGCTCATACAAGTATGCATGCTTCTTTGTCCATGTGTTGTAAACACAATGAATGCTCCTACTGAATACCTTTTCTGACAATTTTAACCCGAGGTTATGGCTATGTGAGGTTGATTTGCTTTTTCTTTGGGACTACTTTGAAGCTGTACATGCTCTTTCTGTTGAAATTCCTCTCCTTTTTAGATCCTCAGCATTTATTACCAAGGGCTCATCACGAAGTGATGATTTCCAAATTTTTGTCCCTATGTTTATCAATAGTAAGGTTAATTCTGATTATGGCAACAGAAGTAGGTTTATTATGGGTCAAGTAGCATCACTCATAGCAGAGCTCTAACCATGGTGCAAAAGGAGATCTACTCTCACTTCTGTAAAGTAAGCTGATCCTTCTTGTGGATGGAGGATATGTGCTGGCTGAATAGGGGGTTGTAGTGTGCAAATAGCTCATGCTAAGCCAGGGGGCGTGCCACAACGGCCATTCTTTCTGTTCTAAGTGCTAACTAAAACTGGTGGAATTTTATGTTTTGCTTTTCTGTCACATTCGTTCAGAATGATAAATGATACTCAACCAATTTCTCCTGTAGATGTAGTTTTAGTCAATCTCTTAGCTGGGATAATAAAAAATAGGAGTCCTACAAGTAAGGCAACAGTTGAATCTGTAATAAAACCAGAGTACCTGAAAAAGAACAAATGTGTATTAAAAACCGGCAACAAGAACTTACATAAGCTAAACACCAATCAATTATGTTAATACCATGTAAGTATTTATTCTGGATAATCTGTTCTAAAATCTATGTATTTCCAATTAAATGACATAATTTACTGGAGCAAATAATCTCAGTTCACACTCCTATTGTTCCCATATTTCCCACACATTCAGACAAACTAGGATATTGTGGCAAATTTTCCTTTTAGGTAAGCTTATAGATTTGTTAAACAATTTCTTCTTTGAATTATTTCTTTTAATCATATTGGCAGAGAATTGAATTTGAAACAATTCCTAGAGTAGGCAAAGCCTCATATAATTGATATATGACATCCTAACATCCCTTCGATCAAATTGTAGCAAAGCCTGCTGTTTCTAGAGTCTCCCAAAACTCTTCTACAAATTGTGAAAAGAAATTGATCTGTTTTCCAAGGTATAACACCTGCTTCTGTGGTTAGAAGCCCTAGCCATATCAAACAGATGAAATCAATCCATTTAATGCTTTGTACTCTATGAAACTCAATCAAGAATATAAATTATTGGAGTGGTTTGTGCAATGCTCATAAATGATCGTTGTATAAATTAA